AATGCAGGACTGACCTCATTTGCTTCGGTTTCACTCCTATCCTCTGCTGCTCATTGCCGAGCCAGTGAGAAAGGACACGGCTTTGTTGGCTGCAGCTGTGAAAAAACCCTGAGCGGAGAGGGGTGTCTGCCCACATTGTTGGGAAGATGACTCTTCACTTGTGTATATACTTAAACACTGTCAAATGACTTTCTATCTTCCTACCTGCTCTAGTCAAGTGGATTTTTAAGCCTTGTATTACAGGCTGGCCTGTATGCAAAGAATGAGCACTCCACTCGCTCGCTCTCTTATCTCAAGTGTCATTTACTAGAATCTCTCTACCTTTTGCCTCCTGTAAAATGTAAACTGAATTACAGGCATTTAATTAAATCAACATATTAAGTGCATGAGGAATGAGAGGCAGTGGGAATTTCGATGGCCCTATCCATAGTGGGAATATTAAGATCTATGATGCCGGGTATCTAAGCTATTTTTCTGGTGTATTGAGAACACTGGTTGTGTAATAACAATTTCCAGCTGAGACGAAACATGTTTCTGTGCTAGGTCAGCACAGCAAGAGATCATTTCCCTCACCTGGCAGAGCTGCTGCTCTATAAACTGTGTGACTGCTAGTTAAAGGCTCAGGTTTGCAGTAGCACTGCTCCTCTGGGATGGGGGAATTGGAATAATTGGTCAACACTTCCGACAGTTTGACTGGAAAAACATAGCAGTCTCTGTTTGCTTTTGTGTGTAATCTTTGTCTCAGTCCCTCTGTTTCATACTTCATGATTAAAATCATTTTGATCAATGTTGGGGATCTATTTTCTGCCTGATTTTTAGTGGCTAAGCATTATGCACATAATATTGATATTTGCATTTTCTACAGATGTAAAGCATTGGATTCTCAGAGATGAGAAATTTTATTTTGTTCTTTTTGCATTATACTTGACAACTGAAATTGCTGTCATCTTGCCATAACCCAAATTTGGATCACAAAATCAAAATGAAAAACTGTGAAACAAAATATAACACAGGAAGCATGACAAGAATGAGATTAATCTCTTTTATGTATATACTTTCCCTCTAATCCTGGATTTCTGAGTAGATGTTTGATGTCAGTTTACCATGAAGACATGGAACAGCAGGCTAGTGAGTGATGGAGTCAAATTAGGGTAGAGCATGAGGGAGGCCCTTTGTCATCAGATGGGGTTGTGTTGTGTGTGCCTCTAAACCAGCTGCTGGCTGTTTCAGTTTTGTCACCATGAAATCCTTTCTTTTAGTCATGATCCAGAGCAGTGGTCTGCCCAGCCTGATTATTGTTTGTTGGTGGTATATTGCTTTTTCCCTAACTGGGATGCTGCACTTTTGCTGTGACTGGATTTGTCAGAAGAGCAAAAAGGATAAAAATAGGGGGAGAGAGAACTGAAAGGGTTATTTTCTTCTATTTTAAGTAAAACTTAAAGCGTTTTTCTCAGCACTGGAGCACTGTAGAAGAAACAGGAGAGCACAGAGCTGATAAAATGCACATCCCTGACCAGAATTTTCCCCCAAAATTCAGTAGCCCGGAGAAAACATGGTCTGATGGTCTAGGATGTTCTCTAGGCAGCCTGAATATCCCCTGCCTTCCCCTATTGTATGTACAGTAAGGTGCTATTTTGTGAAAGGTGATCTCAGACCATGCTTCTGGAAAGGTCAGTGTTGCTCTCGTCTCCCACAGTTCTGGCATTTCTGTCTTGCTTCAGTTTCTGAAATTAGGCAGCTGTAGGGTGCATTCAATCAACTCATGAATCTGGCTGACTGATAATAATTTTTTGGTGAATTAGTTATTTGGATCAGTGTGCTGTGAATAGCTAGGGATCTGGGCCGACCTTTTATTCTGGTAGCCATCAAGACAGGCTTATGCTCCTGTGAAACTGTACCCTGCAGCTGTTAACTCTTCTCTGGAGCACTCTCTGGGATACCAGACTGAGCACTGAGCAGTACTGTTTTACAGATGCATGCAGGACAAGCTGCAGTCCTATAAGCAGTATCTCAGTTTGGCCTAATAACTGCATACATATATGTGAGTTGTGATGCCCTCTTACACTGGGGTTTTCAGACTCAATTGGGCTGGGTTTCAGCTTCAGGAATAACACCAGCTCTGGGCCAAGCTAACATGGGCTTTTTTCCATCCTCTCTATTTCATTCTCTTGTATGTGCTCTCCATGACCCTAACACCACAGGACCTATTTGTTATTATTGCAGAGCTCCTTCTTGTGTTTCCACCTGTGCTTTACAACCCCACAAATCAGATTAATCCCAAATGCTAACACTATGCTCCTGTATGTCATTCTGTCATGTACATCATCCTGCTGTGCCTCCACTCCTGCGCAGCACAAAGAGCCTGTGCATAGAGCAGCACACCAGTGACCTTAGGCAAAAGGCATTAGTTGGTTTGGCAGAGGTGCTCACCCCACTCTCAGATGAGAACCAACAGGATGTCATCAGGAGTGTACTGACTTGATGCACTAACTTGGAAATTGATTTTGACAGCCTCTGCTTTGGCAGTTGTCTTCAGGAAGAGGAGTATAGATCTTCTATGAGCTTCACCAAACTTGCTCTTTCTTGGCTTACAGGGAAGGGATTTATCCAGTAAAGAGGATGGCTTCTAGTCCCATCTTCCCATTTCCATATTTTATCTAACAGTTATTTTAGGTTTTTAGAGTACATTAGTTTGTTACTCTGGATCATGGATATAAATAGATGCCGGTAGCAGGAGGCCTTATCAGCTGTGAACAGCTGTACTTGCCTTTTTATTTTTAATCTAGGCACCAAAAGTGCAGATGGGCAACAAAACTTGGTTTTCTGACAGGTAAAACCTTTAAAATCTTTGGAATTTGTTGAAAACTGTTGCCTCTATTCTAAAAATGAACTAGCATTGCCTTTTGAGGGAAGACTATGACCTAATTATGGGAGTTCTGAGTTCAGGGTGGTATTGAGGTATTAATTCTCTGGTTTTGAAATGCTGTCTGTATGTGGGCAGTTGTGCTTAACTAAGTATATAATTGCTTGCCTATGTAGGAGAGCCTGGAGAATCAGGTCTGATTTCCTGGAGACTATCATCTGTGTGCTCTTAACTGAAGTGGCACTTGGGGAATCCTTTAGGTTACCAGGAAGTGAAGAGGAATGCACACGGGCAGAGCTTGAGAGAAAAGGATTTCAAACAGTGGATGAGTAGCATTATGCATTGCATTTGTAAGCATGATGAATGAATTTTTGATCTATGAATAACCGTGGGCACTAAAATTGGCCTTTCTTCTATTTAATTTTTACAGCTAAGGCTTTATTTTCCCTGGGTAGATTATTCAGGTTGCAAGTTACCCATACAGAAATCCCAGGCTCAGACCTGGAAGCAGGGTATCTGTTCATGCATGGCTCAGACCCCAGGCCATAAACTGACCTGCTGAAACCCTGCCAGCTTTATTCACAGCTACGAGTGACGTCTCTGTGCTGTGCAGCGTATGGGCTGTGGCAAAGCAGTTTTGGAGGAGCTAGAGGCACAGGAGCCAGCTGGAGTCCACAACTTGCACGTCTGGGCTGCAGCTCTGGCTCTGCAAGACTCTGTGCAGCAGGGCTGATGGTTACAGCAGTTCTAGGAGGGAAAACTGATGAAAGAGTAACATATTACATGTCTGTGACCCTTTCTGCTTTGAGAGGTTTGTTAGCTGGGTTTTCATATGGGGCTCTGTACTCCAGGTGATTGACCTCCCAGACCCTGAGCACTGCAAAGTGCAGCGCACAGATAACAAGCTGTAGGCTCTGCCTAACTGGCATTTTGAGGTCAGGGTCTTTTAATCATGTGGATACTCCTATCCCCCATTGTGTAGTGGAGAGCTGACTTTGTTAATGCTTGGCTGAGGGATGTATCAAGTGGTGTTTGACCAGACTAAGAATAAAGTGTGTAGTTCAGATGTTTTCTCATGAGATGTTCAGCGCTCAGAATATTTATTGCAAAGTTTGAGAGGACAGGTCATCCTCAGCTCTGCCACAGAATTCTTCTATACTTGAATAATGCAAAAAAAAAAAAAAAAAAAAAATCATCTACAGGCCTACATTGGATAACAGATGTATTTTGTGAAAAACAAAGCAATGTCAGATTTTCCTACCAGACAGGTTATGATAAGCTTTTGTTGTCAAACTGTGGAAAGATGTCCAAAGGGAGATGTGTATGGAGACAGTACTTACCATAACATAACCTCCACAGGAAGCAGCGCAGATATTTTCTTGTGTTTGCTGCTAATGGGTAGAAAAGTATTGTTCTATCCTTGGGCAGTATTAGCTGACAGAGAGGAAATTAACTCTTCTTGATGGTTGTAAAATCCGGTGCCTTCTTCCTCTGAAGTTTTTGTTTTCCATATCTGGTTTTGAAAAAATTGTTACGCCGGGTTTTTAAAAGTTTTGCACTGGGCAAGGCACCTTCTGGTCACCTTGGAGAGCATCTTGCTGCTCACTGCTGTTCTGCTTTCATTTGGAAGTGCGTAGTCTTCTCAGTTCTCACCTCATCCTCTCTGTTTAGCGGGACAGTGTGGTGCACCAGGCTGAGCAGTGGCACACGGCAGAGGTTCTTTTCTCTTCTGGAGCTTGTGGAGAAAGGATAGTCGAAGTAGTGGTCAACACAGAAAGAAGAAGGAAAATGAAAAAAATCTGGCTGAAAAATAAGTAGGATATTTTGCCTGACCTACAGTTCTTCAATTTTTATGTTTGTAGTTTTGGATGATTTCTGGTCAATTAAGTTATTCCTCTGGCCCAAAGAGTCACGAATGCTTTTTTGCATCCTCTGAGGATCTAGCAAGCATGCAAAAGTGAATTCAAGTCAAAGCACCAGAATCAGATCTGCTTCACTGTAATTTCCTGAACTGGAAACTGCAGTAATGTAGATATTGACGTGGATCAGATACCATGGCCAGAGAACGTTCAGAAGATGCTGCTGCCATACACTGTCAGGTACTCATATTTACGTGATGTTTCTTCTCTCTCCCCAGGTTGGCGGTGCTCTCACTCAGTCTGCATCGGATATAACACAGCTCTTCTTAGACTGTTGCATACGCATGTTGAGGTAAGGGAGAATTGGTGTCAAAATTAATTTTGGCCTGAGTAGCATGGTAGGCAGATAGTGGGACAGAATTCCTATGTTGTGAGTTGTTTGTTCAGTATGTTTACAAAAGTCATAAGAATACTTTTCTGTGACTTAGGACATTAATCTGTTTCTACATTATTGTAGAGTATTGCCTTTCTGCTTTCTTGATTGCTGTTTATGGAATGCTATAAAATACAAGTAATCAACAGATGCTGAGTAGTGACTCTTCATGTTTTCAGGTCTGTGTTATCTGTGTGGTGATTTTTTTTTTTCTTGGTATTGTCACTGTATTATAAATCATAGAATCTGTGCTGTATATCTGTAGTGCTGTATGATAGTACTGAAGTGCATCAGACTTTACTTCCATATATAGATGGCAAGACTGATATACAGAGAGAAAATTAAAGTCAACTTGTCTAGCTCTTGGACAAGATCTCCTGCGTAGGAATGACTGTAACAACTTCATGTGTGGTGTAGCTGTTAGTATATTAGGCCTTACGTTGTTTTAGATTTTAGCCTTTTTAGCCTTTCTGTTTGGTACAATATGCTTTTCTTTTGTACACAGTTTTTCAAGAAGTAAGGGTACAAAAATGAAGCAGTAAGCTTCTCCAGAGTGCACCAGTAGTTATTTTTGGCAGTAGCTTCCTGTACTTTCAAAAGAAAAAGTTTCGAGTTACTTTATTCTTCAAACTTTTGTGGGATGACTCTGCACAAGATAGGGAACTATCACAAATTCCTTCCCATTTGTTGCACTGATATTTGTATTCTTCCCAAGCATGAGTGCATCATGTACTTACCCAGGCCTTTCTTAAATTACAAAGTAGTAGATCTGTAATGCTGGATAAAGTCCTGCTCTATTCAAGGCATGTGGGAATGATTCTGAGGCTGTTGTGAAACAAAACACTAAGTCATGCACATCATTGAAAGATTGAATTTTGGAATGAAAATTCGCAACATATCGCCAGAATAGAAAAACTTCTGGCATGTTTGTGTCTTCGTTCTCCAGATGTCTTAATTCTTTCCTTCCTAATCTGACTTCTCTATTCTTCTGTTCCCCTATGTAGTCTAGCTAGCTTAGAGTAGATGAAGACAACTAAAACAGAAAGTCTTAGCACAGTGAAAGAGTTAAAGCATTCTTCATGATTGTTGGAGTCAGCTCCTGGAGTGTCATGTTAGAACAATCGATTTAATTTCTCATCATCTTCTGGGAACAGGGGTGGTAACAAGAGATTATGACTTGATGTCTTCCATGTATTCCCTGCAAGCTTCTTATCAGCTGCTGTGATGGACCTTGTCTGGTATGAGAAAGCATACGTCTTCCAGGCCTTTGGGATGTGCCCATTTCATGTTTCTGTGTACCTCACCAGTTAATCAGTTTGCTTCAAAAGGGGAAATTTAGAAGCAGTGAGCGGTCACACTTCAGGGTTGGCTTTTTGTGCAGCTCCTTGTGTTTGATGTGTCTACCTGTTTCTGGATTGGGGTTAGTCATCACTTAGTGTGGTGTTCCATCATTAGGGATAGGCATTGCAGAGTTCACCATGATTCAGCTAATGTAATTTTTAGCAGAACAGGATTATCTACGTTAAATTTTGAAGTTTTGTGTTAAACCTGATGTCACTTTTCAGCATGGATAGACTCCTTAATCTTCCTGTTACCATGCTCTAGAGGAGTTGCAGGGACAGTAGCATTTGTGCTTACTGTATAAGGCTGTTTACTGTTTCAGCAGATGATTTGTGTCTTTATCCAGTGTCTCTTAATAAGAACAGGGTGCAGCCCCCACACCTTTCTGCAGAAGGTTTTATAGGATGGCATAACTACTGGCATTGCAACATGTGGGCTTTGGCTCTCCATCACTTCCCCTTGATTTGTGAATTCTTTTCACCTGCAGAGTGCTGAAGTCAAGAGTTGGACTTGATGATCCTTGTGGGTCCCTTTCATCTCAGAATGTTCTATGATTCTTCGTTGGTTGCAAGTGAGGGGAAGTCAGTTGTCAGCCAAGCCGTTAGCTTGGTAGGTGCATATACATGACTGAAGGGGTTGAATTGTGGCTTTAGTGAGTGGGTAAGGAATATTCTGCTTCAGATGGTATCTTGGAGATCCTCCGGCCTCAACCTTCCCACAGAATTACTATGTTGACTGGAAGGGGCTATGATTTCTCTTTACTATCTCCCTCTTTGTTTCTGTGCCCATTCCTTTCTTTTTCTTTATAATTTTTCTTTAAAGAATTAATATAAAACCTCTTTTGAAATTTTCATGTTTTTAATAAAATGAAAGGGAGGTGCGTAGGAGCCTCATTCATCACCTTTTGTCACCAGACTTGATTTGACATGTAAGACTACAGGAAAACTTTGGCAAGTTCAATGATTCCCGTGTGGGGGTAATAAGAGAGAAGAAAGCTGTCAGTTGAAAACAGCAGGAGCTGCATTAGCAAATATAAATTAAACAGATGGCTAAGATACTACAGCTGTCGCATAGAAGCTCCAAGAAGATCTTTAGCTTAGAACTGCAGGAGGCTATTTTGAAAGGAAAGATGAAAACAACAACAGAGCGAACTTTAGTGTGACGAAAGAGACAATAGAGGCATTCAGAAGACTATATGAGACTGATTTTTTTTCTTCACCTCTTTGCATCTTTTGACTCTAAAATTAATTCAGAATGAGCTATTATAAGGTCATACTGCAGATTTCCATACTGTGGGTTTGTTTACTAGTTTGGAGATACATTTTAGTAGTCTTGTGTGAGGTGCTGGCTTTAACCTATATCCCAGGGAGACAAGAGAGATGTGACACATTCCATACTATTTTGGTCTCCAACTACTTGTTTTACAGCTTTTTCAAGAAAAAGATCTTATTGAGTAATTGTTTTTAAATAAAGTGTGTGTAAACGAATGTTGGAAGTGCTGATGTTTTGCTAAAGCTGACACCTGCATTAAAATGTTTTGCATGTTTCATCTAAAGATAACATTTTTCTGATCAACTTTCAGCTATGGAGTAGCTGCTCTCTGCCTTTGCAGAAGTTATGAACCAGCATATAAGTATATGCTGTTTAATAGATGAGGGCAAATGGAATCTCAGTGCTGTTTTTAGAGGCCAAAAGGCCTCTGTTTTCCAAAATATTGTATATATATTTTCACCAGTTAGGACTACTGATTTGTCTTAGATACTTTATATGTAATCAGAGACTGATCTGCTGCCTTCCCTTCAAAGATAGATGAAGAAATGAACAGTAAAATAGATGCAGCTGCATTTGAAGCCCCTATTTTACGATCAAAGAAATAGTGCACGCAGATGAATATCTAGACTTGCTGATCAGTCCCCCATTCAGTTTGTGTTTTACTTCAAAAAGAAAAAAAAAGTCTATTTATGGTTGACTTCTAAAACTCTGGTTAATATGCAAGAAATTCTCAGTTTTGGGTTGTACTGCAGCCCTTTGTGCAAAATGAATACATCTTCAGTTGTGTTTTTTTTTTTTCCAAATTGTGTTGTTTGTTTGCCATAAAATCATGCTTGCAGGTAGCTCTAGGTCTGTACTTCATCTCTAGTGAACTGGGCTCATCATGTAACTCTGCATTTCTCTTGTGATTGCAGCTTCGTACCTCAGTAGAAAATAGTACTGCTGATAATATCAACTAACTGTCATTTCTACTCTGGAAATTTCAATTCTACCCTTGCAGAAACTTTGGAGTGGTTGTTAAACTTAAGAAAAGTGAGAGCAAGAAGAGCCCTTAACATTTAGGCATATTCCCTTTCTAGCATACGAAACTGGAAGAAATGGTGTTGGCCTTGAAGTGTATTTGAACATGAGAATGATAAATGGGGGATATCTGTCAGTGGTGGTGGGACATTTCTGAGTAGGTGACCTTCCACTGGGAAGCCTGGCCTCAGCCTCTGCTGTTAATCTTTTCCTCCATTGTTTTAGGTACAGTTCCATGACATGAGCTGAAACAGAACTAACTGGAACAGGAAGAAACAGTGGGGAAGGACAGCCTTCCTTTTAAAGATGGATAACCTTAATTTTTTCTGCTGAGTATTCTAAAGGCAAGAATGAACCTCAGCTGAAAGTGTAGTTACTGGGTAACGCTTTCTTCTGTATTTGATCTTCATGTAGATCTTTTGGTAGTATCAGAGGAAGAGGCTGTGGAGGATGGAGGGATAACATTGCTGCCATGCTGTGGATAGGCCAAATGGAGAGTGCTCTGACCTATGACACGGAGCTAGTGGGGAGAATGCTTTTATAGTTTTTGAAAGTGGGCCGTGACATAAATTTTCACGTCATGTAAAGTGTTAATATCTAACTCTCAATTGATTAGGAGCAGCTGCTTACATGCAAAATGTATGCTAATGGGAAAGGGAAACATGATCCAGCTTTTATTTTATGCTCTCATGACAAGAAAATGCTTCTTAACTGAAAGCAAGTAAGCCCAACCTTTTAGTACTGCAGCTTGGTATATTGCTTAGCTAGCTGCACAGCTTTTTTGTCATTTGGCGCTCATTTGAAACTTGTTCTTTTTGAGCCTAGGCCAGAAATGACAAGTCTGATTTTTCAGTCAGTGCTAGTCTGCATCCTATATAGACAAATACTTCAGTGACTGAGTGAAAGTTGTGGAGAACATGTAACAATTAGAAATGACTTCTTATTATTATGCTTATTGTTTGAGAGATGTCACATAAATAATTCTTAGGTAAAACAGTGTATCGAGTAATTCTGTGGGCTGTGGGTTCTATACTGCTAATGTGGTAAATAATACATTGCTGATTAATTTATTGTAGCTAATTTGTCTTAATTGCAGAGAAGGTGGACTTTTGTGTTTTGCTTTAAAGTAGATTTCTCTTTACCTTTCAATGGAAAGCAATTGAATACTGCACAAATCTTGTTAATGAAACCCATCTTTTTCATATGGAAAACATTTTCCATATTGTTAAGTAACTTACTTTTTTCACTATGGCAATTTCTGTCTTTGGATTATGAGCTTCGTTCCA